ATTAACATTTGAATGTACGTATGTTAATATTGCGAAAAATGGAGTAACATAGATACATATATATGATCATGGAAATATATAATGTTATTGATAGGATAATACGTAATGATATTAATAAATATAGAAATGAATATACTGTCTTTGTAAAGGATGAGTACTAGAAAGGGAAATGTTATAAGGAAGGAATATGTTCCACAGATTAATAAGGAGTTTTATATTCATCCTCATAACATATATTTTTTTCTATCCTCACCATGTAATCTACCATAAAAATTAGAGGCTATACTAGAAATAGGCTCTTGATTGTGATGCTCTATATCTATGTATATAATACGATTTCGTGACCTGAGCATGTTCTACACGCATATATTTATATGTATATACACAGTGCAGGTATGTACAATTGACACAACGCACACAATTTACGAATTTACCTATTTCTACCCCCTTAACCATTTTTTTCAGAGTATTTTTGCTAACCATCATGAAAAGAAACGAAAGGAAAATGTAAGTGTGAACTTCCCTCGGGAAGGAGCTACGCCAAATAAAATGATCACCGAACAGAAGACGCTTTTAGCCAAGCAGATTGAAGAATCAAAGAAGTTAAAGGAATATTTTTTCCATAATGATGGTGACACAAATAAATTGAACTTGGAGAATATACAAGGTGTACCCTTCGGAGATGATATCAGTCCTGATTACATGATAGATGTGTTGGGAAAAATATTATTACAGCAACCTAAGGCAGTAGGGGAAGAATTGAAAAAATTCGAAAATGCCATAACAGGCACTGGACCAATGACAGAATCAACATGGAAAGAGGTGAAGCATACTTTATTAGAAAAAGGGTCAGAGAAGAGAGAAAATCAAAAAAGCCAAGTAGGAAATGGACAAAGGAAAATAGGAAACGACACAAAGAAAGCAGAATACGCACTAAAGTCATTAAAGGATAATATGTCGAACAACCCATTCGTAAAGCAAATAATGTTGAACGAATTAGAAGATGTCTCATTAGCCAGAAAGTTCAAACATGAATACGTCTTAGAAGAGTTAAACAAGGAAGTGATAATCAATAGATTAGGTGGAATGACCATGCTAAAACAGT